ATTTGAAAAAATATAATTTTCATTTGCAATAACCAGTAAAAATGTTAATATTTACCAAAGTTGACATCGATTTTGCGCAAGTTCCATAGTGGTCCGCAGGAGCACGATAGAAAAACAATTCGTCCTTCTAGGACAAGAATAATCGAAGCGCCTTCTTTTTAAAATAAAAAGCTTCGCGCGACTTGCGACGAACACCTTCTGGATTCCTCCTGCGTCGGATTGTTTGATTGTTGATAGGTTTCTATGCGGCAAAGAATACATTCGAGGAACTCGACGAAAAATATCAACTACGCTCAAAGAACATGAAAGAAATAAACTCATCAGCAGTTGCAGGACACAATCATGAAACCGGACCATCCAGTCTTAGAGAAAACTACAATTTTTGCATGCAATCAGTTTTTCAACCAAAGAAAAATCTGAGAATCTATAGAAATCTGTAAGCGACCAAACCACAGCACCACTAAAGCCCCTATCTCTCGACATTTTTTCAGATATATTAAAATCCGATATAATGGAACCAAACCTTATTTTTAATGAGAAATGTTTTTCTGGAACATATTTTTCTTGTAACGATGACGTTTATCAACAAACTTCGGGAACAACTAAGAGCGCTAAATTATCACCAGTCATATTTAAGAAGAAAACCCCGACAGCTTCATTCTATAACCAAACTATGGAAGCGATATGTTGATGATACTTTACTTATTTGGCATCATAGTCAAGAATCCCTCAGAGAGTTTCTTAGTCATTTAAACTCCATAAACCCTAACATACGTTTTACTAATAATAGTAATGTAGTAATTCTTAGACATTCTTTTCAATTGAAAATCGGACCTAACATTGGGTCATTATGTTTACTGGAAACCTACGCAAACAAATCGAAACCAAAATACATTGCACATCACCATCCGGCCCAAAAACCATCGGTTATCAACTCTCTTCTTCACAGAGCCGTAAAACTATCTCAACCCGAGACACTAAACCGAGAATTAAAACAGCCTACATTTGGACTTCGCACTAATAACATCCATGTTAGCAGTATTAAGCGTTCTATCACAAAGAACACTTCACCACAACTTTCCAAGCACAACGAGTACCAGAACAACCCCACACTTGCCACCGGTTTCCTTCTTTACAGTCAAAACATCACTGATCACATATCAAAAGTTCTAAAGAAATATAACCTCAAAACCAGATTTACCACTTGTCCAAAAATCTCTCAATATATTTGATCCGTTAAAGACAAAATTCCCTTTGAGATAGCAGGAGTTTATAGCATTCACACACGAATCTGTCTAAATAGTGCGTCAAACAAACTTGTTGGTTTAATTTAATTTAATTTAAAATCGTAACAATAACAATTTATGGCAGTTTATATTTTTGATGGTTCACAATTTTTAAGCAAAAAAAAAACAGTTCTACATAAATATTACTTGAATATCTAAATAGTTAAACTTTTTAAAAATCCCATCCTTATGTCTTTTTTTTTCCTTGCTAAAACTTGGAGAAGATGTCACCATTAAAGATTTAATCTACATTAAATAACTAAGAAGTTCCTTATATTACATCAAATATCAACTAATTAAGGACATTGAAATTCCTTCAAATTCATGGATTCATGCCAACAGGTAGGTGCGAAAATAATAAATAAATAAATGTTTTATTTTTATTTTATATCTAGATCAGTATCAATTGTCGCCGTGAATACGCGCGCCACTCTTGATTCTATAATAGTGAGATATTTGCCCCTGGAATTAATGGCAGCATTTCCTTTATATAAAGCAGAAAAAGTACTGGACCAAGTACAGTCCGCTGTAGGACTCCTAACGTCACTTGCATTGCTTCATAGAGTATACCATTTAATCTAAAGTTCGATCTGATGCTTAGTAATAATTTCATCTGCAAATGCGTAAGCTAGTTTTCGATATTCTTTTGATGAGAGACCAGATGCCATAAACTTAAATATTATAGTAACTTGTATTTCAGGCATTTTTTTTATTATATACAGGGTTTTTCAATTATGATGAAAAATCTAAGAGACCGTAAAAATTGCACTTTTCCAGAATTAATTATCAGGCGTAAATAAAAATTGGTTAAAAATATGGCCAATTGGTTTAAACAGTATTATAGGCAGCATCTAGAGCTATAATTTCTGTATTTACGATTTTTGTCACTATTTCTTACGTGCTGACGTCACTTGCGATGCACTGCGTGGTTTAAAAAACATTTTCTTTGAAAATCGATATTATTTGTACAAATTGTTATATTTATCAAACTTCATTACTAAACTTTCTTTAAAATGGCAACCTAAGGTTCGAAGATCTTCCAAATTATTTTGTTTCTTAACACATCCCAGCAGGTTGATAAGACGTCGTTTATTGGTCACCAGCTACTTTGATTCGGCCTTTGAAGTGTATAAGACGAAAAAATGACCCAAAATGTCACATCCCATTTACCTATATTAGGAAAACGGAGAATTTACTTTATTTGTTGTTTTATTATGACCTAAACGTTCCTTGATGTTGTAGCGTGGAATCCAAACGTGTAATAAAAAAAATATTGGAATATATGCAGGGTTATTCATGGTGAGTGTCCTATTAGACGGTTATGGAGAATCACTTACGGTGAAAATCCTGAAATATTGATAAGTTGTTATGTAAGCGAATATGAGCTACCTTGTTTAGTTTTCATTTTATTATTTTTTCGGGTTTGTATGAATTTATATATATAAACCTATAACTTATTTATTGACCGCGTGTACAGCACCCAGAAGTTATTCTTCTTCTTTTCTTTGCGGTATTAAAGTCCTGAGCTTAACTGGCCATCTATACCCACCAGCGCCCTTAGGCGCATGCTCGACTTAAAATCACGGTGGTTCAAAAAGTGCCGTTGAACGCATCAGGTCATACGCGTGGTGATCAACAAATTTCCTCACCACCCGAGGCACAGAGGACGCAGCTCGGGCCGGCCCTTCCGGAAGGAAGACTAAAAGCGAGGTAGAGTCGGTTAAGTTAAGTAATGAAAAATCTTTTGATCCCGTCTTGAGTAATTTTTTGCTACTTCTTGCGGTGCCAGCTGCGGCCAAAGTCCGTGTCCGCGCGGACAAAACATACCTATTTCAGCTATTTTTGTTTATTTTATTATTATTATTTATTGTTATTTAATTTAATATTCGTAGAAACTGTTATACCTACACAAAACTAATGTTAAAGACTGATAAACGGTTTCCAAATTTCCTCTAAGATATCCATGTTTTGACTTCACAATATTGGAAACTGTTGCCCTTTGAATTTCGTTGGTTCAAGTTGTTGAAAAGTCTGTCTAACGCGTCGTTCAAAATTTTCTATTGTTCCAACTGGAGTTTTATATACTCTTTCTTTCATAACGCCTCAAGGGTAGACATCAACCGGTGTAATATCTGGTGAACGCGGTGGCCAATTCCATGAACATCGCATGCATCGATTTTCAACATGATTGTTCTTGATTTTCTCTATTTGTGCAATGAGCCGGAGCTCCATCAAGTTGGAACCAACATCTGCGATATAACGCTAATGGCAAATTGTCTAAAAAATCTGTGACTACTGTTGCAGATATTTTTCCATCAAAAACAAAAACACGTTAAAACTAAAGGTATTGTTTCTTCAATAATACAAGCGTTTCCTCAATCACTTAATATTTATTGAATTTTTCTTTTCTATAAATGGACTGTATCTCACATTGCGGCGACGTCGCGACCCATGCCGTGAACGTCTACCCCGTAACGCTACAAAATTGTTACTAGCCTAGCAGAAACGTAGACCTTGTCGATTTGGCGTGTTGTCACATTGACTGAAATGTCCGGCATGTTTAAGATACACAAAATTAAAAAGAAATTTACATAATTTTGAACTCAACAGGTATGTTGAAATCGCTTTTCTCGTACAAATATTTATATTTACTGATGACCAAAAATGATTATTCCTTCTGGTAAAAACACCACTCGTTAAAGTTTTGATTCGTTGGTATAAATAATTCTTTTCAATCAATTTTTTTACAAAACTCTATTCGTCATTGTGCATCACGAGGGAGAAGAGATTGTAATGTAATTATTTTGTAATTATGCATATTATGTTTCTTTAGTATCCGTATATGGTAAAATATTGGTTTCATTTTCTTCTGACTTTGTAAGAGGTGTTGGGAGTTTCGAAAATTTTGCTTCAATTCTTTTATACTTTTTCTCATACATTGGTAGCAAATGCGGATATTGTTCATTAAATCTTGGGCACTTTTTTGAAAAAATTCTTTGACGCTCACCAAAAATGTGAAATAAATTCAAAATATCTGCGTTTGCATAACTATATGCCATGTGCCATATTGTTTTCGCAAATAAACGCAACTTTTAACTATAAAATGAGAAATCCGACATGTCATCTAGACATCTACACATGTCAGTTATTTTTGTTACAGGAATTGTCACCATGGCCGACCAGAGCCTGCTACCCAGATGAACTATGTTTACTTTAATTCGCTTTAATTGCAATATATTTGTTTATTGCTTATAACTCGAAAATCAGTGAAAATGGATAGGTATACCATAGTTTGGAATTTTTAAGACACTCACCGTGAATAACCCTGTGTACATATACATACATATATAGTCCTATCCTCGGTTATTATTTGTTTTAGAGAAAAATGTTAAATACAAAAGGTATAGATGAGACTAAAAGGAACAATTTAAAACTATTCTGTTCAGTTCTATTGATCAACAACTGACGCAGAAGTTCAAGATTTGTAATTAGTTTAATTTTAGGTTGTATGTATATATATAACAATATAAGTATAAATTACTAAAGGTATCTAGAAGGAAGAAGCAAACGTAACATTAATCCCCGGAAATACTTCACGACAATCCAGGTGTACACAGGATCAGAACAAAAAAACTATTCTTACACCTTTGCCTTTCGATTTTATCGCGCTTTTGACAAAAACTGTTTACGAAACGCAGATAAGATATCAAAATTTATTGCCAGTCATAAAATGAATGTACATGGTGTGGATATTAAAGCGCAAGCGGTCGTCCTAATTTATCGTCAAAGTTCGTCGTGACACCTCCCCTCCTTAACGACCTTAATTTCCGGCGCGCCTTTATCTCTGAGATGGTTCAGGTGACAGTCGAAATCGCACTGGTTCGAATACGTCTTCCCGTTGTCTGCGCAAACCGGCGAGTAAATCCTCGGACACACGCAGATAGGAATGTCCTCCTCATCGCCGAGATTTTCCCGAGGCCACGACGTCACTGTCGATAAACTGAGCCCGCACAAAATTATCCACTTAACTGCTCCCATTTTCGCGTTTGCACTTTAGCCGCGTTCGGCATGACACTGGTTGGTACTCGTGCTGACTGTACTTGTACTTATCTTCGATTTATCGTATATGCAAGCTGATTAAAATGTCGATACAAAATTTGAAGACCTTTTTCATTTTAGGAATAAAGCTTACGAGAGCTACAGCGCAGATATAGAAGTAGTATTTGAGGTACGGTATGGGACGACAGCTTATCTCAAAACTTCAAGAAACTTAAAAAAAAAATGTTTTGATTTTCTCATTATAAATACCACCCTGCATAATATTATGGTATATAACCAAATCGAGTCTTATCATGCGAGTCCAACTATATGAATCAAATCGGAAAACCAGAGCCACCCAAAAAGGTTGCACAATTGCAAATATACCCTAAGAAAGGAAAAATACTTTTTTCTACTCCCTTTTGTAAAATACCCAAACGGTCATGCTGGTGAATGTATTCGTGTCGTTTTGCGAAAATTTACTCAAAAACTAACGGTCACAAAAAAGTATAATATGCAACACATTTGGTAAACACTTTTAAGTCACTCGTTTGTTAAAAATTTGCTCCGCTGCGCTTCACTCGTGCCAAATAAACTCAAACGGTTCAAATGCCGTTTACCGGACTTGTTGATTAATATACTATTTTCTACTCCCTGCTGAAAAATACCCAATTATCACCGATTTAGTATACGGAAAGCGTCACTTTCCTTGTGAGTTTCTTGTCCCATGGATCCGAGCCCTTTCGGACATTTCAGGGATATAAATGTACGGGTTTGGGAGCAATCGGATGTTTTCGGATATGTAACCGCACGGCTTGAATTTTGACGATTGTCAATTCTGACTGTCATGTCAGTGAATGTATTCGCGTTGTTTTGCAAAAATGGTTCCAAAAACTAACGATCATAGAAAAATTAGAACATGCAATAGATTTGCTAAACTTTTTAAGTTACTCGTTTATCAAACACCCGCTCCGCTGCGCTCCGTTCGTGCCAAATTTGTTATGCAATTTGTTGCATAATATCGCATATTATGCATATTGTTGGATACTATTATTATAGCAACGCATTTGTTGCATAATATACTATTATTATACCAGTTTTGTGATAGCCATATACGATTATTTCTACAAGAATTATAATACAGAAAATGTTAAAAAGTGAGCAAAAAACTAAATTACATTGATTATTTATGAATTTTATGTTATTGACAACAATATTAAACATTTCAATTAATTTTAGAAAATACCAAAAACACTACGTTTTAAAAATTCCTTCCAAAACAGGAAGTTATATCGGTTTTTGATCCATACAAAACATAAATAATATTCCGAACTTCCAATGTTAATATCTTCTCTTTAATATTCATTATTTGGCTTCTATTCATTTACACTTTTTAGCTTTGTTCGATATTGCACGGTGTTCTTTTTTCATACACCATTTTTCTTTGATATTGTTTGGCGTTTCTCCATTTTCTTATTCATCATCAACGTTATTGGTAAAAGGTCATTACCTGGAGATGCGGCTAAGATTGTTTCGATTTTTCGTTAGTAGCAGAATTGATTGCATGCCAGAAATTTAGTTTTATCGAATCGCTCTGTTATGTTCTTTGATCCTAGTTGATATTTTTCTTTCGGTCTCTCCAATGCATTCTTTGCCCCATGTGCATACAATGCTGTACACTCCCGGTATCTCAAACGGATTTTTGTCTTTGGCAGATCGAATATGTTGAGAAATTTTTGGACAAGAGGTAAATCTGGTTTTGACGATATATTTCTTTTGATATGTGGTGAGTGATGTAAAGCAGGACAATAACGGCAAATTTGGGGTTGCTTTCGGACTCATTGTCGTGAAGTGATGGAACGCTTAATATCTGTAATGTGGAAATAATTTGAAAGAAGAGCAGATGTAACTTGTTTTAATTCTGTGGTTAGTGACTCGGGTTGAGATAGTTTTTACGACTTTATAACCGATGATTATTGGGCCGGATGGTGAGGTGACAATGCATTAAGGTATCATCTGTGCGTAGACCCAACGTTATGTCTGATTTTCTATTGATAAAAATATCTAAGAATGGGAGATTATTATTAGCTTCTTATTCGATAGTAATAAGTATGATGCGGTATAGAGAGTAAATGGCAATGAAAATCTGGGAGCGATTTTTAAGCATTTTGGCTTTAGATAAAAGGTGTCGAGGGCTCTCTTTTCATAGATATATTCGCGATAACTGGTAATAATGAACCCATAGATGTTCCCGACGTTTGTTCAAAAATTTGACCGTTATAAGAAAAAAATGTTCCAGACAAGCATGTGATGAGAAGATGAGAATACTCAATATTTGAAATTATTTGCTATTTTGCGGCAAAAATTAAGTTGGAACCTTTTGCAAGAATGTTTTTTTCCTTCTCAGAAAGTTGGCGCGAAGATAATTTTACAACACTGTTTGTTAGTTATGAAAAGCTTTTGTTAACGATTGTCATGAATCACGTTTGAGAGGGTATCAAAGTCTGCTGGGGACAAGGTGGAAGCATTTTCAAGATGTATTGTATGTATTGATGTATTGATTTGGTCTATTTCATTACGGGTACCAGTTTTAGTTGTCCAGTTTCTGCTTTTGCGCTTGATGTTCTCTCCACAAATCTTGTTAATTTTTCAAAGAAATATCCATATGTTACCGTAATACTATGACTAATAACTAATACTAGATATAACACTATACTAATACTATATATACCGAAAAATTACAATAAAACCTTAATTAATGTTGTTGAGAGAATTTAAGTTTAATAATGGAGAGGTATTTAAATCTAATTGATCGTTAAGCAATACATTTCAATGTCTTATTTTGTTAATCTCGATAGCTTAGAATAAATTTAATTTTCTACTTTTTGTGGCTGTATATAAAATATCAAAATTGTAGTCAAAAATGTGTTTTTCTGTGTTTAAGTGTGTGGTAAAATTAGAATTATTGTTGTTAAACGCTCTTTTATATTCGTTAATGTGTTTCTTGTTTATCCAATATAAATTTTAGGACATGATCCGCATTTCAACCTATAGACACCTGATTTTTGAGATTTCGTTTCGATTCGTTTTATTGTTTTTTAAAAATTTTCCTATTGTGTAGTTAGTTCTGAAAGCTATTTTTAAACCACATCTTGACAAATGTTTTCAACGTTTTTCACTGGGTTCTCCTATGTATGTAATTGTTTTAAATTGTTCGTGTTCTGTGTTAGGTTTCGCATAAATAGAGTCTACTGTTGTCTGAATTTGTTCTTTATTTATAATTTTATCGATAATGAACGGATTGTAGCCGTTTTCAGTGCAATTTGTTTAATGATATTAAGTTCTTCGTTGTAATTTTCTGTTGCGAGTGGCGTATTAAGAAGTCTGTGTATAAAAGAGTGAAATAAAGCCATTTTGTGCTTATAAGGGAGATTTTAGCTATTTATGACTATGTCTGTGTGTGAAGGTTTATAGTAAATGGAATCTAATTGGTTTTGCGGTTTCGTAATACTTAGGTCTAAACAATTAATAGAGTTATCCTATTCAATTTCGATAGTGAATTTTATATGATTATGTAATGAGTTAATGTAATTTAAAAAAGAATTGTCTGTCCGTTCCAACAATGCAAGCAAAGACATCATCCATGTATCTATACCACCATAGAAAAATTTGCGTAAAGGATATTCTTGTATGGTATTTTCCAAAATTTCCATAAAAATCTCGGCTAACAAAGGACTAAGTGGGTTTCCCATAATCAAACCTTCCTTAGAGATGCAAATGTGTCCATTAAATTCAAAATAATTTAATGGGTTAACCTGTTTCCGAGTGAGGGTGATATCTACTAAATCCATAGGTGGAATACTGGGAAATAAGTTTCGTACACCAAAAGACAATAGTGTTGGGTTAGAAGGGATTTTGATATCTTTAATTTTGTTGATTGACTCAAAAGAATTATTTATTGCAAATTTTGGTTTAAAATCTGTTGAGAGTTTAACTGCTGGAGCCGTTAGATAAGACACGACTGGTCTAATGGGCATATGTTGTTTATGTAATTTAACTGAAGAATATAATTTCGGAGGTTGTGGATTCATAATTGTTAATAAATACTTGTCTTTGTCACTAAATAGTGTGGAGTTAGTAATTACTTCCTTGACTTGTTTTTCATATAATTCGGTAGGATCGTGTTTGATACATTGGGAAAGTTCTGGTTTAAGAAAATTGTTGGTTTTTGAAATATATTCTGGCAGATCGATAGCTATGATTGTCTTCCCTTGTAAATATTATTTTATTTTCAGAAGCTTTGTTTTTGATAGATTTTACTAGTGGCATTTGAGAAATTTCTTGGTGTTTGTTTTTATCTATTAATTGAGAGTTTATTATATTCGCTAATAAATGTTTGTTTAAATTAGAATCTTTAATGTCCTAAATTGCTAATTCACAGTCGCTCCCTAAACAATCTAATTCTATTAATGTTCGAGTGTTGTAGTTATAGTTGAAACCTTTTTCCAGAAATTTAAATTCACTTTTAGAAAATGTTGTGTCTGTTAAGTTTATGAACCTGTTGTAAAATTAGTATTCGGTATACTTTGTAATAACTAGCTTGCTGTTAGATATTATCGATAAAATTATAAATAAAAAACAAATCCAGACAACAGCAAACTCTATTTATCCGAAACCTAACACAGAACACAAACAATTTAAAACAATTACATACATAGGAGAACCCTGTGACAAAGTTTCAAAAAAAATTTCAAAATGTGGTTTAAAAGTAGCTTTCAGAACTAACAACACAATAGAAATTTTTTTAAAAAACACTAAAACGAAGTGTATTGCTTAACGACCAATTAGATGTAAATACCTCTCCATTATTAAATTTAAATTCTCACAACAACATTAATGAAAGTTTTATTGTCATTTTTCGGTATATATAGTAGCAGGTAGTTTGTAAATATTACATCTGAAAAAATACACGGTGTTGTTGAAACAATTGTCATGTGAATATATATAATTTCGTGAAAATCGGAACTTTTAGTTCTTGTTT